TGAGCCCACTTGACACGTTTTATTGTCCTTGGGTCTGGCTCCCAGCCCCTCTCCAACAGTTGAGGCTGTCTGGAGGTGCTGCCTTCCATGCCTTGCTCATCCACACCTCATTCATTCAACAGGGCAATTGATTAAGAGTGGGGGGGGGGGGAGAGCTCTTGTTCTACTGCTAGCAAAAAGAAATTTTTCTTCTATACTATTCTATCCTTAGGGCTATAATATTCTACCAAGGGCAATGCAAAGTTTCTAAATGAGGCTTTGATACAAAGTCCCATGAAAACAGAGGTCACACATGGGTAGACCCACCACAAGGTTATATGAAGAGGCACAATGTAGAGTTATGTGAAAATTATCAGAGATTGATCTACAACAGGTGTGCAAAGGAAGGGTAGAGAACCCGCAGTCACCCCTCAAGAAGAGGCCAACCACAGCTAGGATGGGGAGTGTAGACACTGCATTAGGCCAGTGACATCCCAAAGGCAGGTCAGAGGCACTCGTTTGAGACCCTCTGACCCTTTAAGCTCCCCGTCCCCAGAAGAACTAAACTATCTCAGGGTTGTTGGAGCACCCACTGCACCCGTTCAAAGGTTGCCAGAGCTCCAACTGTAGCGTGCGCCCCTCTAGAGCCCCCAGGAATTCTGAGGGAGTGCATGCTGCTCCATCAGGAGCTCTTGCTTCAGTACAGCCTCCCGGTTCCCTCACTTCACCCCATCTCCCCAGTCCAGCCAGCGTGGCTTAGGGCTTGTCGTTAGCTCGAGTGATCTACACTCTAGTTAACTCCTCTCAGGTCAGTCTAGCTCGTGTGAGAGCAGTGACAGTCCAAAAGAACAGTCGAGCATCACCGAGTAATGGCATTAGCAGCACATACTAGCTGGAGCATCGGCAGTCCTGGAGCTTCAACCCCTCGACAGGCTGGTTAGATTGAGTTTAGTACACCACCTGCCTCGAGCTGGTGATTACTGTGTGGGAATGGGAGGTGGGTTCAGGGCTACCCTGGAGTTATACCAGGAGCTAACACTGCAGCTGGCGGACGCTTTAGAAGTGCAGAGTAATATAACCCTCAGGAATTAATTAATGTGATTACTATCACTTCCCCAGTTGCCCAGGAGCATTTCCCATGAGTCACTGGTGCCAGCATGTGGAAACTAGGAGCAGCAACTTTCCCCTCTACTCCACAGACCCTGATCTAGCTAAAGAAGAGAGCAGAGAAAAATCACATCTAGTGGTTAGAGCTCATGACTTGGAGTCAGGCTGCTTGGGTTCATTCTGCTGCTGACTCACTGCACGACCTTGGGCAGGTCCCTTCTGCTCTTTGTGCTTCTGTGAACTCATCTAAAACAGGGATAATTACACTGGATGTGAGGATGGACAGGAACTGTGAGGATTAACTTGTTAACGTTTGCAAAGCGCGTTGAGACCCTCAGATGGAAACGAGCTAGTGGAGGGCAAGTTGCTCCTGATAAAAAGGACATGTGGATCCACTGCTGGAGTGTTGCTCATGTGCAGCTCCTGGGGCGAATCCAGTGATCCCCCCCCGCCCCACGAGTGACTGTGGTATGGAATTATTGTCAGGGGTGTCTGGGGTCACTGAAAGGCTCGAACGTCCTGGCATAAACTGGAGCATGTTCAAAGTCCTCCTCCAGCACCCGGAGTTCCAGAAGGAGAAAGGACCATGCCAGAATTGGCAGGAATGAAAAGAACAGACGTTAAAATTAGCAACGCCTGACCTCCGCGAAAGATGCTTTCAAGCACTTTCAAAAGCCTGAGTCTTCCGGGAGCTCAGGACCTGCACTGCACAGACCCTGATGAACAGGCCTGACGTCAGCAGGGGCCTTGCGTGCCGCTAGGCTGCTGCATTCGCCTCCGTGCTGCTGACTAATGCAGCTTCCTTGCCCACACTGTGACGCAGAACAGTGCTCAGCAGTGAAGTGATCGTCTCTTCCCACCCAGGCCACGTTCCTGCTGTCACTAGGCTTAAGAGTCCGCTCAGTGCCCAACACTAGCATGACAGCCTTTGCACTGGCCAGAAGAGTGGAGAACATTGGCCACAAACTTGGAAGGAACCAGCGTGAGTTGTGAGTACGGCATGTTCCCTGGGGCAACATATGCAGTGAAGATCAGCTGGATTCAATGCATGTCCTTATTCCAAATAAAGCCCAGAGCACTTCCAGTTTAGAAGGTGACTGCTCAGGTTGCAGGAATCTTATGAGCACATGAAAACCACGGTGTCCAGATCTTTTTAAACAGAGCTGGAGCCAAAGCGAAATACCAGAACCCAACAGCCCTGAACTCAGGGGAAGTTTGAACTTCATGGGCCCGTCTCTAATAATGCAAGAATAATAAATTAATAATGCCTGGGAGGTATTTCGCTCTCTTGACCGGCACTCTTGACACCTGACGAGGAAAAAGGCATCACGTTTCCAAGCAGTGCTTTGAATTACACACAGATCAAACCCCAGCCAGCGACATGACATGAGCCGGAGTGAAGCACGACGCTGCCATTGCAGAGGCTTCAGCAAATCTGCACAAAGTCTTTGTGCTCTTTTGAAAAGGAACCATGGGCCTGGCACTAGCAGCACATTGTTATCTGATTTCTCTCTCTCTCCTTCGAGCAACCTGGCTGGTGCATCTCAGACAATCCCATGTCAGTCACAGCTACTGCTGTGCAGGGAGCTTTGGTGTTAGAGGTCAGCCTCATTCTTCTCCGACCCTTGCCAGCCAGCTGTCCCGGGATGGGCTTTGGGTATGAAGCGCACTGCACCCCCTCACTTGCCTCCTTTCCCCGAACCCTGGAGCAGAACAAAGTATCCCCCACCCCTACACTCCTGGCTGGTGAGTCATCAGCATCAGCATTCAGAGAGCCAATGAGTCACTCAAGGCAGCAGGAAAACAGCGCGAATGAGCCGAGCTGCCTGGCAGGTCTGCTCCGCGGAAAGCGCAGTGCGTCTCCA